TATATATATATATATATATGTGTGTGTGTGTGTGTGTGTGTGTGTGTGTATAATGCAATTCTCAACGATATGTCTAAAACACTTAAAAAAAAACCCATAGCTATCCACAAAGTGCTGGAGATGGAGTAAAAATAATTCATACAACAATAAACAATAAATGAATACACTATCATCTCTTGTTTGTAGAGAAGCAGCAGAGAAAGCAATGAATGCTACTGGTCAAGAGCATGTCAATATGGATTCGCTATTTCAGGTGAGTCCGAACAAATCAACCAATATTCCCAGGAAACATAAACTCAAAAGTACGACCAGTTTGTGTTGGAACCCTTTTGAAAGAATGAAACTTGTGTGACATTGTCTGTCAACAGGTTTTGTCACTCTTTCCAGTGTGTAATTGGTAAGCAGAGCATCTGTGTATTAGTCTCTCACTCTCTCATTTTTGTGACCATTAATTTAGTGACCAGATCAGGGAACAAACACCAGTTTAAACAGCGCTTTGCGAATATTGATTTCCCCTCATTGTCTGCTGTTGCTATCATTTCACAGGAAGACAGTTTATACAACAACAATGAGTGCAGCGAGCCCTGAGAACTATACCACCCTGATCAGACCGCCGGTATGTACAGTTAGATGGCATTCTTTCACATTCTTTCCTTCATTTTGTACAGTTCCTTTGAGATTAACAAGTGACACCGCACCATCCACTAAATCAGACCTTTGACTCTCCTACAAGGCTTGTCACGTGACTCAACAACCAGAAGTGCTCCCAGCGGTTCGCAAAGTGGAACGCATGAGCCAGTTTTTCACACCCTGAGTAGCTGCAAGTAAAAGAAACTGGCCACTGTCTGATCATCTGCTGCACACCACAGCTATGAATGTGGTCATGTCATCTGACATCTTTTTTTTTCAAATAACAAAAGTCACCAACCCTGACCTGTTACAGATGTTAACATTGTGCTTATTATATGAGGAAATACAGATTATAAAACACCTTTTTTGTAGTGTATTACTTTTATTATTAATCACATATATTATCTGACCAGGTACAATTCTAGGATCATCAATTTAGAGGTACTGACAGTTTCAGAGTACATCTGATAGGGGGCATTTGGTTGGCATGGGTGTTTTTTTTTTGGGGGGGGGGGCGGCTCCGGTTGTGGATTCTGGCATTTTGACACTCCAAACACACGCACACAATACACTTCATTAATGCGTCTAAGACAGCTAGACCTACACTCACATGTCTATATGTAAATGTTTATTCCTTATGATGAGGATATCGGTAGCAACAAATCATTATTATGTTTGTGTGTGTGTGTGTGTGTGCGTGTGTGTGTGTGTGTGTGTGTGTGTGTGTGTGTGTGTGTGTGTGTCGCGTTAAACTACATTGAAAGTACCGAGTGTTCTGAAATATGTATATTTTGTCTATGACAATAAAGAATACTAAATTGAAAGTACCGAGTGTTCTGGAAATATGTATATTTTGTCTATGACAATAAAGAATTCACCCCCCCCCCCAAATAATACCACACGATAACATGAACTTGTGGTTTAACGGCAAAAAAAAAATCAGTGGGCCCTCTGGGGAAGTTATAATTTCCCATTTGCAAGCATTACCTGAACGCAACTGCAGATCACATGACGCGCCAGAGCAGCTCCCTACTTCCGCTGTGGTTTGCTTGCTACGAACTTACGACTCACGTTAGGTCCGAAAGTCGTCGCGATTTCGACCAGAGTGTTATTCCAAAATGCTGGCCCTTATCAACAGGCTTCTGGACTGGTTCAGGTCCCTGTTTTGGAAAGAAGAGATGGAACTGACACTCGTGGGACTTCAGTATTCCGGGAAGACCACGTTCGTCAATGTGATTGCCGTGAGTCGCTCCGTCGTAACGTGCGTGCTGTCAGTGTGGGCCCAAGGATGTGAAAAAGGTTGCAAGTCAAATGTGTGAAGCGTCATTTCATGGTTCATAGTCAGATGCGTTTAGTCCCATTTCATAGAAAGAATGAGTCGACTGCAAGCAGGGCGCAATGTAGCAAGTCTGGTGCTCGTCCACTGACGAAGTTGACAGTGTGACTGGGCACTTCTTTCAAGCAGTGACGTGCGGGTGTTGTCATACTGGATGACCGCCGCGTGTCAACATCATTCAGGTTCACTGCAGCGATAGCATCCGGCGTTGGAATCAGTGAATAGTGGATCTGCAGGGCCCGCTTTCATCACCAGTGAAAGTCTTCCTGGAAATTGCATCATAATAAGGTTAAGTGTCGTGTATGGTGAAATGCGCAATAGGCACGTGTAGATGTGCTCGTCACTTGCCATTAGATCCACCCTTGCCTGAAATAATTACTTGAGTCCAACTGTTCCGTCTGGGTGCAGCAAGGCGGATTCGTGTCAACACGCCAGACTCGCAGTTGAGAAGTCGTGGGTTCGAATGTTCGACTGTGAAGTTTGCATGTTGTCCTCGTGCTTGCTTGGGTTCCTCCCAAATCCCCAAACCACGGCTCTGAATTGTCCCTCCTTGTGGACGTGACACCCTCACGAGGACAAACGATATCGAAAAGAGAGGGCAAACGCTTCTGACAAACCTTGAAGCCATTTTTCTCGTAACAACAGAATCGAGCAATGAATGTCTTCTGCATACACAGCGAAGTGGTGTTCTGTACTCTCACTTGCCTCGAACTTCCAGACAGTGCACGTCAACACCTACGCCAATCCAAGTAAATAAACACAAGATTGTGTCTGGATGCTGTTTTATTGTGCACAGTCACCAGTATATCTGTTCTTCTGAAAATCCCCGACACTACCTAAGATCATTTTGTGTTTTATTTCCACCATTTGCTGACAAGCCCTCTATTGTTTTGCATTAACAGTCGGGCCAGTTCAGTGAAGACATGATTCCTACCGTTGGATTCAACATGCGGAAGGTCACAAAAGGCAACGTGACAATCAAGGTAGGCATGTGAACTAGGCCAGCAGGGTATTTTGCATCCTCACGTGCTCATGTCACGTGACAATGTAATGGACTGAACGCATTTTTTCCCCTTTTCTTCAAAATAGTGATTGCGATCGAATATGAAATTAGTTTTTCAAGCCCCTTTTCCATGTGCATGTATTTTTTATTTTGTTTTAACAAAGAAGCAATTAATTCTTCATAACAATAAATAATATTAGCTCCATTTTACATTGTAGGATATTAAGATAAAGGCAATGAAGCAATGTGTAAGACAGTTTATTTATCCACTACAATTCCAGGTGCAACCTTACAAAATACTTTGACGCGCCATCTAAGCATTCACAACAACAATATAATTCTGCCGCACATGTGGTGCATATTACGTGTACACAATACTGGAAATGAGTTCGAAATTGAACACGCTAAAGCGCAGATTACGACAGTAATGCAAACAAGTCCGCGGCTCTACCTTTTCAACTGATCCGACTTTTCGTGTTTCATGAACCGTGACATGTAAACAAGTGGACTGCCCTTCTTAAAGGCGGAACTTGTCATCCACATTGATAAATAAATAAAATACACATTTACGAAAGATAAAACTTGACGATCTGCATTCAGTAATGTCACACATGCTCGAGTGTGAAGATCCTATCTGCTCCTATGATGCAACGTCTTCCCTTTTCATAAACGGCCTAAGAACCTGCAGGCATCGCAAGCGGCCTCGCAAAACAATTCAATGATAGTCGTGCTTTGCAAGCATGCCTCGTTCTAATATCCAAAAAGGAGGCCTTGCATGTGTCTTTTGTATTTTTGAAGAATAAATGAACTAAGATAAACAAATTGTGAAAGATCAATAAAATATTGAGAATTACACAGATACAAGTGTTTGGCCCTTAATTTGAGAGAGAAAAACCCCTGGTGCATCATCTGGAACCCTTCCAGGTTGCAACAAAAGTTTATTTTTAAATATGTTATTAAACTGTTTTTCCTCCTCAGATATGGGATATAGGAGGGCAGCCCCGCTTCCGAAGCATGTGGGAACGCTACTGTCGAGGCGTCAATGCTATTGTGTAAGTGTGTGTAGTCAGAATGGATTAGCATGCGTCTGATTTCCACCCCCCTTTTTTTTTTAAATATGTATCAGTGAAAAACAAACTACAAAATAATTGAACAAGGTGCCTTTGTGATCTTTGTATTTTTCTTCATGATCTCTTCTGTGAACATCAACTGCTGTGATTTCGGCTGGTCTTCTCATTGACTGTCTTCAGGACATTTCAAATATTTGTGTTGGCTGAGGCATGTGATGAGCAAAATGACATGGGGCTTCGATTTAAAAGTGGGCGTGGAAAAGAAGTGTCGTTTCGAGGCGCCTCTCAGTGACGTCATTGTCACAGAATCAGGAGAAAGTGACGTTTCGTTGGGGGCTGTGCGTGGCGAGCGGGAAAAGTCACGTGACAGAGGAAACGTAACTCGTTTTGCGGTGGCGCGTGGCGAGGGAGATGTCACGTGATCAATGAGCCTCGCGTTCGCTAATGACGTTTCACAAGGTTAAAAAAATTTCAATCTGGCGCCAAAGCATAGCGAGTTGAGGTGTTGAGAGAGTGTCGTAGATGTTGTTCGGAGAGAGATTGTGAGTATTTTTTTACGAGTTATTAACCTTGAGTTGGATTTTAAATTAAATTAGTTTGTCAGGTAGTTATCCATTCATTCATTTATAGAATGCTGCAATACTGCTCACTGTGCAGCAGGGGTCCTTAAAGAGCTAATATGAATGAAAACATCCAGTAATGAACCATTGGCTAACACATGAGACACATTTGTGCAAATATACTCATGTGACTTAATTTTTTTTTTAATTGTTTTATTTTTGGACAGTCATGATTATTTTGAACTTTACTGTAACTACATTTATTGCTATCTCAAGGCACCACTGTATTTTTATTTATTGTTACTTTTACAGGTACATGGTGGATGCAGCAGATCGAGATAAGATAGAAGCATCCCGAAATGAACTCCACAACTTGTTGGACAAACCACAACTACAAGGGATTCCGGTATGTCAGTGTATACTTGACTCAAGATGGTATGAAAGACAAGCTCGTATTTGGCCAAGTGCATAGCCATGGCATACACGGCACCCACAAAAGTGTTTTTTTTTTTTTTTTTTTTTTTTTTTTTTCTTTTTATAAAGAGAAAAGGAGACTGTGCTGATTCATGGGGGTAGTTGAAGAAAAAAAATCCATTGACTTGTTGGCATGCAAGAGATGACTCAGCCTTTGCCATTGTTGTTTTTTCAGATTCTAGTGCTCGGCAACAAACGAGACCTAGCCAATGCGCTGGATGAGAAGCAGCTCATTGAAAAGATGTGAGGCACCCACAATGATTCCCTCTTCCCGTTGTACTGTCCGTGTTGTTAGATTCAAAAGCACCCTGTTGGATATGTTGTCAGTCCACTTTTGTGTGCTCTGCATTTTATTTTATTTTTACCTGATAGTAAGAATAGATTCGGCAATTTACAATCCAAGTGATGGCTTTGCCATGAAATTAGTTATGCCACTGTGATTGCAGTGCTTTGACTGTGTCAACGTGTCACAGAAACATTTTTTTGGGGGGGGGGTCCTTTTCCTCCTTGGGGCTTAAGATCAGTGACTATTTGTCACCTGTGGGCATGTGAAGCCCTTTGAGGGCTATGTAAGTAAATTTGACTTGGCTTGCAGTTAATGACAGATTTCATATTGACTGCTTTCTTTCATCAAGGAACCTGTCAGCCATTCAGGATCGGGAAATCTGCTGCTACTCGGTATCCTGCAAAGAGAAAGACAACATAGGTACGTACGTCATGCCGTTCAATCGCTTTCACTCATTTCTTGCGCGTGTCGTATCGGACGGTGGTGACGACAAATATTTCCCCCCTTGGCAGATATCACCTTGCAGTGGCTCATCCAACACTCAAAATCACGGAGAAGCTGAAAGTGAAACTTGCGTGTGGCCCGAGCCCCGAACACTTCTGAATCATCCACGGTCATCCCTCCAACTGCCTCTGTGAAGTACTTCAGTTCCTTCCGCCTACTATCGCCGCACGCCGCGCCCGCGCCACCGGTCGCTACTGCCGTAGCTGTGTCGTCTATTGTACAGCACTGTTCCAGCAACTCTTCTTTGGTGTCCTGAAACGTTATCTGTGTGAGAAGGTGGATTGTTCATGCCCATCACGCCTCACTGCCCGTCCTTGTGGCCATTTGCCTCTACGCGGTTGTCAAATGGCACCGCAGTATTTTGTTCTCATCAGTCCCCTAACAGCTTCACAAATGACTGCGTGTTCGGTGTTTACAGTGCGGTGGCGGTTTTGTTCAGCGTTTGCCAAATGAGGATTGCGCTAATGCCTTTAATCGCCAATGAACTCTTAGCGTCGTCGTCGTAATTTGCTGTGCCTCATTTGCTCCAAGGCTTGAATTCAAGATGAGTGGAAGGCAAAATAACGAGCGCTTGCCTGCTGCTGTTGAAGGCAGCAAAAGCCCCGCAGAGTTTTAAGTGCCTTTTGGCTGAGTGAGAGCTCTAATTAGATGGTCGTTGCCCGGGGCTACGTCTAACACGCTGTTATGAAATCGTGACAGATCAATGTAAATTCCTTGATTACACAACAACCATCTCCTGTGAATCCGATGGATGATAACCACCTTATACCCTCAGCGGGAAGACACCCTAAGTTTTCGCCACACGATGCAAACAAATTGAGAATGTGTGACATGTCGGTCCGTTGATGGGTTTGAACACCTCTTGCCTTTTGTGTAGCTTTAAACGTGAAGGACACTTCACAGGTTTTTTTTTTCTGTAATATTCTGGAGGTAATATGGGTGTGCCCAAATAGCTGGTTTTATAGTTCTGATTTTGTTTAGGTGGAGTAACTGAAAGCTCGTCTTCGTCAAAATCAATCACTAAGTCACGCAGAGTGCAAAAGCGTTAGACTATCATTTCGAGTCTTGATGTCTGTAAATGTCGCAAAAGACTGACCAGTTGTCATTCCATTTCCTCTCGGTGGCAGGACACGTTTCTCTCTTTTATTAAAGTGACGCTTTAATCATGTATGTGAATCTGCTCCATGCTAGCCAGTTGGTTGCGAATTCCAATAACGGCCCGGATGGCGTTTGTTCAATTGGTCATCTCGTCTGTGCACTCAGCATACGCCCCTTTGTCGTCATATTGTCTCGTGTCTATTGGCGATGAGCCGAATACGAATCATCAATTTTGTAACCGCAGCAGAAGTGATGGGCTGTGAAGTCGAATGACTGAGCAAACTGGGAGAATAAAAAGCTTGTGTATATTACAGCAATTTGTATGTGCATGTGCTAACATTATTCACGTTCAATTGCGGAATTTGTAAATAAGAAGCGGGCGTTTTTATTCCAACAAATGCTCCCTGAATATGTCATGCATTCTTTCCCTGTGATTGCCAATAAATTTTTGTTTTTTTTAAAGGGTTTCCACTAGTTTGTTTGGTCAGGTGTATTAAACGTCTCTCCACTAGGTGGCAGCAGAGGACCTTAATGAGATTGTACTTTGCGCGCAATGTTGCTACAAATATGAATGAAAATCTTTCTGTTGGATTGGGTCCCTCATTCGTGTCGTGGTTTGAGCTGGACCCTCTGTTGACACTGTCGAAATGGTTGCTTACCAACAACGCAAGCACCTATACAGTAAATACTCAATCACACTTGCGTTCACACCCATGGACAATTTAGAGTCTGATTTTTTATTTTTTGGGGTATGTTTATTTTGGACTGCGCGATAAAAGTGGAGTATCGAGAGAAAACCCACGCAAGCACACGGTCACCATGCGAATTCCGCATAGGAAGATGAGATTCAAACAGAACCTCAGAAGTGAGGCAGATGTGCTGAGCACAAGTTCGTCTCACTGCCTTCAATTTCATTCTTGTTTTCTAATTGATCCTCACTTACGTCATGACATTATTCTAAACCATGCGGGTAATTTGTAACGTAAAGCTTAATTTTACAGAATTATGTAAACTATCATTTTGGAACATGCAATAATTCTAAAGCATGCGGGTAATTTGTAATGTAGAGCTTAATTTTATAGAATTATGTAAACTATCATTTTGGAACATGCAATAAGTGCATAACTGAGTGTGTGTTTGTATATGCGTATGTGGGGGAGGGGTGATAAATGTAACAGAAATGTAACACGTATATAGAGGCACTGGGGGACTGTGCTGTGAATGTGGGAGCAATGAACCGAACTACGTTCTTACCACCGCAACCACAAAGGCTTATACTGTAGTGTATGTAGTACGAGTGGGCCAGCTGGGCCAGCAACTCCAGTGTTTAATTAATCTAATTTCTTAACGAACAGCTGCCGCCATTTGCGGTAAGGTCAACATTGGACTTGTGGACAGCTCGAGGTGTTTCCCGACGACTTCCATCGGGTGTTGCCTTGCGGCTTGTGTGAGAGCGCGTGTGGTTTGCTGCTGCAGTGACCGCAGGGGATTACAGAGTGGTTCCAAGTATGCCACAAGGATCCGTGTGGCAAGCGGGTCGTTGAGTGACCTGAAAGTGTGACATGCCATGAATGTCGTTACGCTCCATTACAAATGTGCTCATTATCTAATGCGTGTTTCACACCTTTCACATCTGGACTGTTTCTTCTGATTGGTCCGGCTCAAATTCTTCCTGCTGATACAGATTACAATGCAAAGTACAAAAACATCATCAGGAGATAGTTTGGGGAGCTGCTTTGCCAATATAAATTTTTACTTGAACTCAAGTTTACCACCGGATATTATTTGCAGCAATTCATAGATGCTCGCTACGTGTGTGTGTGTAATAAAATAAAATACGAAATTAGAGAGTATTGCCCCGTTGCAGCGACGTCACGTGATCACGTGACTGCACCACGCCGTACGGCGAAAGTTTACGTCTGGCAAACCGAAGTAGACGCCAAACGGAGCGATTGAGCCACTGTAGAAGTTATTTTGTCCATCTGGCCATGACATCCACCCCTCCAACTGCTGTTTTAATCCGATCGCCGACTTTGCTGGAATTCACAGCGCACGACCTTTTATCATGACGTTTTCGATGACGTATCGCCTTTCACTGGAGATAACTGAGAAGCTGATAAAAGTCTGGACGCATCCCATTTTTTTGGGGGGGGGGTGCTGAACAATGATAGACTAACCCTAAAAAAAAATGACTGTTGCAAACAGTCCTTTCGGTTGATTGCTGCCCTCTGGTGAAGCCACGGGGCAGCCATCTTACATTGCCGCTGATCCTGACAGCTTGTGTAATTTTATTTTATTTTTTGCTGAAAACAAAGTGTATGTTCTTGCTTATGATGCTAACAATGAACAATGATCTACTAACCCTGAAAAAAATGACCGCTGCAAACAGTCCTTTTGGTTGATTGCTGCCCTCTGGTGAAGCCACAGGGCAGCCATGTTACATTGCCGCTGATCCTGACAGCTTGTGTAACTTTATTTTATTTTTTGCTGAAAACAAAGTGTATGTTTTCGGCTAGGATCCCGTATTTAGTAATTTGAGCCTCTCAAAGAAGCAACTTCAGTCTGTGCATTGAACATTCAGAATATATTCAGTCAATGTGGTGAATTGTGACCTCACGGAGAAAATAATGTGAAAACGCCACAAAGAAATCGATGCTAGGATCCCGTATTTAGTAATTTGAGCCTCTCAAAGAAGCAACTTCAGTCTTTGTATTGACCATTCAGAGTATATTCAGTCAATGTGGTGAATTGTGACCTCCAGACCTCAAGAGAGAAAATAATGTGAAAACGCCACAAAGAAATCGATGTACACTGTTGAAGTTGGGTGGACTTGGCGATTGGCAACACAAGATTTTCCCCTGGAAGCTTCACTCCTCCCAAGAGCCGGTAAGGAACTTTGCCAATCCATTCATATTAATGTCTGTGTCCGCACCATTGAAAACGCCAACCGAATTGAAAAATCATCGTATGGATCTATGGCAGTGCCAATCATAACTACCAGATTAAAAACAGCTCTTACTCTGATGCGGTACATATCGACACCAACTGACAGAACTGTACAACATCTTGTTGAGTTAAAAGCAAACAGTGCCAACAAAATCGCATTATAAAAAAAAAAAAAGTTTGCTGTTTGGACTTACCGTACTCAAGGCTTTCATTCGTCCTTTCTGATCTTTTCCAGAACACGGCGAGAGTGGCAAAGCAAAAGTTCCGTTTCTTTTTAGGCGACCTTGACTTTGTCGCGTCTCGTGCAAACTCGGTCGTGCAGAAAAGCTACTGTGACCTCCAAAATGCAATAACTGCATTTGCACTTGGTGAGAGTAATCTTTCATGTACTCCATTATCCGTCGTTCTCCCTTGTGAAAGCTTTCGTACTTTGCAGCCTCGGCCACAACACTCGGCGTCCTCCAAGCAGATTCCATTAAAAATCACAACTTCAGCTCCTGGGCCTCTGATCAAACTGGGCGCTTAATGCATTTTCCCAGGGTACCTCATATTTACATATAGATTGACTACTTATCAGTCGGCGCGTTTAACATAAATTCAATGTAATCCACTTTTTTTAATCCATGTTGGATTTGTGTACTGTACATTTGAAAGAAAAGTTGGCATAGGTAGGGCAATTTCATGAGCGCGGTATTATACTTGGTATGCACGATGAGAAGGAAGTATGGAGTCCATATGTGACGTAGTGGTCATCGCAGCCGACATGCACCAGACCTTGAGATGATGCCCTTCACTGTCCTAAAGTGACTTCCATGTTCTCTGAAGCAGCGGTCCCTAACCTTTTTTGTGTCACGGACCAGCTGAGACAAAGTGCACGCCCTGTTTGCGGAGCGGCCACCATTTTTTCTCATTGCTTTTAAATTGCCTGTTTTAAAGTACTGGGACTGACAACAAAGATCATTCTAGAGTCACTCAACATTTTATTAATGTCGATTTGTTTTTTTTTTCTCATTCATTTCAGACAGTGTTATTCTGTACAGCAAATGTAGAAATGGACCAATCAGGAATAATAAATCCGCCTTATAATGTAAACATAATGTTGTTTTTTTAGTTAGGATCCTACATCCGGCATTAGCATCACTGCTACTTGCAATCGGGACTGGTCAAAAGATGACGCGATTGATTGCTGCTTTCATACGGCGGCTGCCGGCTAGTTAGTCGTGACGAAACTGCTCATGTTTACGTGGGCAGGCTGTGCAAACTCTGCTCATATTTTCATGCTTTCACTTGATCACTTTTGGGTGCTACTTGTGCAAATGATTCAACACGTTTCTTGTCTTGCCTCATTTTTGACGACATACGAGGCACAACAGCGTCCTCCTTAAAGTGGCTCTAATTTTTCATCGGTCCACGGCATCTTTTGGAGAAAGCTGTTCATTCCATGATGGAAGTCTGCTGTTAGTCAGTCAACGATCGTTTGAAAAAAACAAACAAACAATAAAAGCGCTACGGGTCAACTCTTCACAATACAGCAGCAGTATGGACCTCCGTCATTTATTTGTTCTTTGCTTTTCTTTTCAAGCGGCGTGAAAGCGAGCGACTCCTTGTTTGCTTGCTTTGTTTGGCCGCAGCCCAGCAAGCGGCTCTGCGATGAAACGCGTTTGTATTTCCATCGTTCACGGTGTCAGTCGGCCGCTCCTCTCTCACATTTGCGCTCATAGTGCGTAACATAAACGGATGCTACCGGCTCTGCTCTTTCTCCTCGTAATCCCATTTGTTGCCATTCGGACATTGTGTTTTATCCTATCACGATGGACTGTCGAAAGTCATTTAGGTTTTATTTTGCTGACGGCAGTTTAATCCGACCAGCGGTGTGCCGTGGTCAGATTGGATTCGGCTCAGCGCTCGTCACTGACAGATGTTCCCGAGCGGCCAGATGAGCCGGGGACCTGCTGGCTTTTGGACACAAACCAAGGAAGCCACCTTTGATATCGCAGCTCACTTGGCAGCATTTGAAACAAGCTCCGGAAGAGAGAGAGAGGGAGAAAGTTTTCTCTCGAGACTTTGGTACATATGCAGAGAAAGTATTGCATCCTGTTGATCGTTTGAAGTTCCCTTAAACTTTTGTTCCATCTGCTGTAGTCATTTTTCTCTTCGGGATGACGGGGGCAGCTGGAGCCAATCTCCACTGACTTAAGGTCCCAGCCACGCGAAGCAATATTACTGCTACCACCAAAGGTGGTGACAAGCATGTCAGCTGACTCATAACGTGTCTATCAGTAGAATCGAACCGCACAGGATGGATAAAAACAAAAAAACATTTGGAAAGGCCTGCGTTACTCATTCCTACTCCGCGAAACAGTATTAGGCTGATGATGGAGTCCTAAAAACTTAAAACCGTGACAATGGTCCTCTTGAACACAATTGCCGCCCTTCGGGGCCACTGGACTTGTCCTTTTGACCTTGTCGAAGCTGAAGTGAGACAACCGAGGTTGAGCCGAGAGGAAGACA